CCCCAAGGGCCAGCTCCAGGGTCGGGGACAGGGTCAGGGGTTTGGGACCCACAGCCTGAGCGCTGGTGCCACAGGCCGCCTTGCCGTCTGCCCACGTGGAGGTGAAATGGGGTGAAGATGTCGGAGGTGACTTTAACCAGGCTGCTCTGATATCACAGACGCGGCCTCGAGCCAACCCTCTCCTGTGGGGGGCTGCTCTGGCACTCCCCCCCCACTGGGCGAATGGTCCGCACACAGCGCCTCCCTCCAGGGGCACCGCCCACTGGGGTGACTCTGGCTCCCAGGAAACCTGAGCCCACAGACCCCACCCTGACGGCCCAGCAGCCCAGCAGCCGCTCGATTTGCCTCCCAAATCAGCCTGCAGCACATCAGCATCCGATTTGAGTGGAAATTCTCAGATTGGGGGGTGGGGGGGCTGGGCTTCCAGGGAAGGAACATGTTCCCCAGCCCCCAGACAGCCCCGGGGTGGGGTGGCTCCTGCTCTGAGTGGAAGCTGGAGCCCCCAGGTGGGGCAGGTGCTGGCAGGGATCCCAGGGCAGGTGCGGCTCTCAGCTGAGCCCAAGGCCCTGCCGCCTCCGCCCTCCCAGCCCTGCACCCTCCTCCATGTCACACGACCTCGTGGACTCTCCCCTCTGACCCCTGACCCACCCTCTCCAGCCACAGCCACTGTCGTGAGTGGGGGGACCCACCGTCTGCAGCCCGAGACCCTCCCTGAGCCCCAGCGGCGACTCGGGCAGGGGCAGCCCCAGCACAGGCCCGGGAGCTCCCACCTCCATACGCCCAATAGGACCCACCGGGCCCACCTGTGCTCTACACCCTGGGTGCGCCCAGGGCTGGTGGCAGAGGGCAGAGGTCACACTGGCCACTGTCTGGCTCCACCTGACCTTACCCTGGCCTTGCCCCGTCCCAGCCATACCTTCTGGGGCTTCCCTGGCAGGTGGACACACGGCCCCCCTTTCCGGAAGGCTCCTCCCTGGTTAACCCCTGACCTCGTGGGGCCCCCACCCCACCAGGCTACAGGCCCAGGAGCCCCCCAGTGTCCTCAATGATGGCAGAAGTGAGGGGTCAGGAAGCCTCGTTGGAGGGGGAGACGGAGGAGGTCCCCCTGGGTCCCACCTGGGGACACCCCCTCGGGTCCTGGTGTCCCCGGGGCTGTTTCCGTGTGTGGCTTCTTTTTCTGGGGGAGAGACGGGACGGCGTTGGGTTCCAGTGTGACTGCAGGGGTGTCCGGGGCCAGTCGAGGAAGGGTGCAGGTTGCGTGGTGACCTCCAGGAGGGAGGGCAGGGAGCTAGGGGAGCTTAGGGGTGCTGGGGGCAAGGCCCTTCCTAACTTTCTGGGTGCCCTTTGGGGAGCAGCTGCTGTGAGCCGGGGAGGGTCCTGTGTCCTGGGCGGAGCAGGACACCGTGGCCGTGACTTTCCTGCCTGGACGGGGCAGAGGCAGCTCCTGAGCCTTTGGAGCCCGGGGTCAGGAGTGTGAGGGCAGAGGCTCTGGGCTCCCTGCTTCTGGGAGGGTGGGCCTGGGGGCAGGGAGGGCCACAGACCTGGCTCTGGCCAGGGAACGTGGAGAGGCCTCGAGGGGGCCAGTGGTCCATTTAAGAAACTGTTCTACACCTTGCCCGGCCGGCGTGGCTCAGTGGTTGAGCCTCCACCTATGAACCCGGAGGTATCGGTTCAATTCCCGGTCAGGACAAATGCCTGATCCCCAGTGTGGGGCGTGCAGAAGTCAGCCGGCTGATCAATGATTCTCTCTCATCACTGATGTTTCTATCTCTCTCTCCCTCTCCCTTCCTCTCTCTGAAATCAATAAAAACTATATATATATTTTTAAATTGTTCTACCAGCAGCCTCTCGTCTGGCCTCCCCCCCATCCAGTCTGAGCACACGTACAGAGGATGGAGGTGGAACCTTCCAGAAACCCACCTTTACCAGGTAGAGGAGGAGGGGCCGCTGTGGGGACCTGCGGGAGGCAGCTGGGGCCTGGAGCTGGGAGCCGGGTGTGGGGCGGGCACACCTGGGCCTCAGGTGCTGCAGGAACCCCGTGGGGCCACCGGTCTGATGCAACCCAGGCACCTGTCGCCACGGCAGGGAGG